TAGTACAGCGGCACGTCCAGGCGAATGTGTGATTTGGATTACGCGTGCTTGACGCGTGACGGGTGCGCCGTCGGGGGGCTCAACTAGCGCTGCAGCGGGGCGGCGCTCCGTCGCTCTGTCTCTCTCGCACCCCTTCTGGCCGTCCCGCGAGCGTGAGAGAGACAGCACTACAAACGCAGTGTTCGGTCGGCATCTGCCTGCAGCAGGGCGCATCGCTCGGGCCTTGGCACAGTGGGCCAGAAGACCGGTGGAGGCGGCCAAAACTCGCGTTTTGAGCTCCAGAGTCGCTAAACAGGCCTCGAACCGAACGTGTGACCCCTCTAATGGATTCCTCGTTCGGAGAGCAATCCATTGGTGGGGTCACACGTTCGGTTCGAGTCCCATTTGGCGACTCTGGAGGTCAAAACGCGTCTTGAGTTTTGTCCGCCTCCACCGGTCTTCTGGCCCACTGTGCGTGGGGCCGTGGGGGGTGCGGCTCGTCCACCTGCCTCGGCGGGCAGTCCGCACAGATCAGCTGGCCGGAGTCCGCGCGCCGGACTGCGTGCAAAGTGCACCGGCAAGGTCAAGATCGCGAGGCGGGGCGTGGCGGCTGCGTGATGCGGGCGGTGACGTCACACCGCTCCCGGACGAGTCCTGGATGGATGCGGCTGGCTGGCTGGCGACTTGACAAGAAGCTGCTCCGGCCGACGTCTTGCTCTGTTGCTAACGGCGTGTGTACGTCGTGCTCGCGGTGCATCGTGACTCGATTCGGAATATTTATTTTTGTTTCCGACATCGAACCGCGCGAGCGAAGCTCGCTCTGCTGGGCTGGAGCGCTACACTGTTTTTTTTCGCGTTGTGTGGTCATTATGACTTGGCTGTCAGGCGCAGGAGGGTCTTGAAGGCGCCGCGGCCGCGCTGTGTGCCCACTGGGAGACCTACCGTGTGTAGTTATCGCTAATGGGCGGCGCGTCGGTGCCGTCGCTCTCTCTCGCACCTCTGAGGAAGGGCCCGCGAGTGCGAGAGAGACGGCGTGGCAGGCCTTGTTCGGAAGCCGCCAGCAGCCCCATGATTTTTCGCGGCCGTACTCGTCTCGTCGCGAGGATGTGCGTTGTCAGCCGACGGCCGACAGCATGGCCGGGACGGATTGGCGGATGTGCCGAGGATGGCAAGGAGTGAGTAGAGGCGCGGGCAGGGTGCCGGGCATGGTGCCAGGCCGCCGTGGCGCGCCAGGTACGCGCAGATGCCTGCGAGTCGCAAGATGAAGGCGACGGAAAATAAACAAACGGCAGCGGAAAATGAATGTGAATGGCGGCGGGGAATATTCCAGGCGCGACTCGTAAGTGCGCCGCGGCTCACGGCGTCGTCGACGGCGAGGTGCCGGCCTCCGGGTCGGCGACAAGGCGGGCTGAGCTTGTGTGTGCCCACTGCAAAGCGGCCGTCTTGTCGGCGGCGGGGGAGCGGCGCGAAAAAGCGAGGGGTCGCCGTCGTCGGGGCGCCCCGAGTGTTTGCCGAGGTCATAATTGCGCGGCTGACATGTGGCTAATATCTGGCTTGAATGGGCGCGCGAGGCAGCCAGCCAGGCAGGCGGCCAGCCCGGCAGCCAGGCAGCCCGCCATGTATAAAGGATGTAGTGTTTGAACAGCCTTGGCTTATCTTTGCGCTCGGCCGCTCCGCTCGGCAGATTGCGCGGCTTGGCGGCTTTTTGGCGTGGAGAGGAGCAGCATGGAGGAGGCCAGAGCGAGCTTGAAAGGACCGAGGTCGCGCACCGCCACCGCCTCCCGCTGGACCGCCGTCCTCTGCAGACTGATTCCGAGAGTCGTTTTCGCCGCTCTGTCTCTCTCGCACCCACACGGGACTCGCCATGCGTGCGAGAGAGACAGAGCGACCCGCCTAATCTCCGCACCGACTCGAATTCGCCGCCCAGCCAATCCGCTTCCTGCTCGTTGGCGCGGGTGGTGATCTCACCGGGCGGAGCGCGGCGGAGCGGGTTTCAAATGCACGGTCGCTTACTTTTTTCGTTTTTGCTGTTTTTGTTTTTTTTCGCGCTGTTGGGTACCTGGTGGGCCGTAGATGTGCTGCGCGGCGCCTGATGAAGTGCTTTTTTGCGTGCGGCTTGTGCTGGCTGTTGTAAGACCGGCCCGTTGCGACACTGGAGGGCTGGCCCGCCACGGCGCGGCAGGACCATCGGCCGCGCTCAGCCGCAAGCGCAGCCCTTTGTCCGCGGGGTTTTTCTCTTTCTCGTCTTGCAGTGCGGCGGCCTGACGGACGGCGCGGCGGCGTGACCCCCGCGAGCACAATGCGACTTGCGTGCCGGATCGGCACGGCGATAACGTCATCACGGTGCCGCCAAGCGCGCCAAGCGCGCGCCTGCCTGCGAATTGGCGGTCGTCTTGACGCTCTTGATGGCGGTGAGGCGCGGGGCGTGGCGGCCCGCGAGCACGTGGTGGTGTGGTGGCGCTCGGCGACGTGCAGGGCGTGGCGGCGGCGGAGAGGGGGGGGGGCGACGCGGCGGCGATGGCAAAGGGGGATCCGCGGCGGCGGCGGCGCGGTTGCGTCTGTCGGTGTCGCGTCGATGCCGCAGCGGCGGTGGTGGCCTTGGCGGTGTCTCGGCGGCGCTGTTGGCAGCCGAGCGATCCCGAGGAGACGCTGTCTCTCTCGGGACGCCCCGCCCCGCCCCCCGAGTGCGACAGTGACGGAGCGACGCAGCGACTCAGGCGCGGTGCTCGCCGCGGCGCGCCTTTTCGAACGCGCCGCCAAGCCGGCCGGCCAGTCAGCTGGCCCAGTGATAACGGCCGTGGCGCCGCGCCGCGCTGCGTGTTTGTTTTGGCGGGGCGGGGCGGGGCGGGGTGGGGTGGGGGGGGTGGGGGCGGGGTGGGGCGGGGCGGGGCGGTAGGGACCAACCGTGTGATCGGGGCTGATCGGCTGGAAGGGGAGGCCGTGGCGTGTCCTTTGCTGCCCTTGCCTGGGATTGCTGGCCCGGCCGGTGATTGCGTTCGTCCGTGTGCGTGTGTGTGTGTGTGTGTGCGCGCGTGTGTGTTCAGCTGCTAGGTTCTCCGCCCGACATCCGGGCGTGGCCGCGCGGCGCGTGCGTGGGCGTGGGACTCCCGGGGTGGCCGATAGGGTGGCCGATAGGGTCGCCGGTGGTGGCGATGTGGGTCGCGGGCGTGGTGGATGGTCTTCGGCGGCGGCCTCGCGGTGGCCGATGGTCCGCGGGTCGTCGCCCCCACCCCTGCCTGCCGGGGCTCCGCGCGCCGGGCTGATTTTTACGTCCTCGGCCCGCGTGTTTGAGTAGCGCTGTCGAAATCGATAGCCAAGTCGGTGGTGCAGCTCGGGGGGCTTGACCTGGCCGGGCGCGGGGGACCGAGGGGCCGCGATGTGCGGACGGCACGGCGCTGTAGACGGTGTAGTCGGCAGTGTATGCGGGCGCACGGCCGGCCGGCTGGATGTGTGTGCACATTTCATGAAGTGCAGGGCCTGGCGGGGGAAGAGGGGAGGCGGGGGAAGGGGAGGCCTTTGATATGTGTTTCTTTGCCTCCATTTACCCCGCCGCCGTGTTCCTTCATCAAATTTGCCTCAGTTTCCTCGCGGCCCCGCGGTTTCAGGGGCCAATATCCCTTCTCCACACACGCCGCGCCCGCCCCGCGTTTAGGGCCTTTTCTCGGTGCAAAGCTCCCCTGCGCTCGTGCGTGTGTGTGTGTTTGGGTTCCATCTCCATTCCATCTGCTGTTTTGCGCGCGTCTTGCGCCCCGCCCCGCCCCGCTCCTTGGCCATGTCTCTCCTGGGAGCGCGCCGCGCGCACCGCGGCCGCCCTGCCTCCCCCTTCGGTCGTATTTATGGTGTGGGGTCCCAATTCGGCGGGATGCACCGTCGTTTTCATTACCTGATGGGGGAGGGGACCCCGTGCGCGGCCGTGGGGGTCATCTTGTCCGTGGCGTGCGCGCGCGCGATGTGTCCCCAGCGGCCACACCCTCGCGGGGCCTGGCCGGCCGAGGTCTCGCCGTGGGTGCAATCAATGTAACGTCGCCCGGGATAATCAATGTAATTACAGGTACGGTGTAGTAACCGGAGCCGATTTGTCCGCCGGCTCGATATTGGATCCGGCCGGCGCGACTTTGGTCCCCGTCGGCGGCCTGGGCTCGGTGGCGTCCCTGGGGGCGCCACACCGCCGCCACGCCGCCGCCGCAAACTTCTCGCCGGATTCGGAATGGCCTCCGCGTTGCGGTATCTCATGGCACACTGCAGCGCGCTCGCGGCAACTTGCGCCAACAAATGCACGCGGCGGGGCGTTGGTTGGGGGCGGCCAGGGGCGGCCAGGGGCGGCGCGCCCTCCAGCCCTCCCCGCGCTCCGTTTGCTTGCTCTGCCGTCTCTCTCGCACTCGAAGGGGTGTGGGCACCGTCTCTCTCGCACTCAAGGGTGCGAGCCAGCCGCTACGCGCTGCGCGGACCGATTCCGAACAGTGACTCATCTCTCTCGCGCTGCCGGGCGTCGAGCGGGGGTGCGAGAGAGACAGACTGCGCTGCGCCGCGGCGGCTGCATGTTATTTATTCGCTCCTTTATGAAAGCGGCACGGCGCGGGGCGTAGTATTTGAAAGACGGGATTAAAATGAGCACGGGAAGGGAACGCACAGCGCGCAGAGCGCAGCCTTGACTGACGATGTCTCGCCGTGGCGCAATTTCGTAGCTTTTCGGGGGGGTCAACATTGTGTAAATCGCCGAGGTGATGAGCTGGCGGAGAGCACTGGCACATTCAGAAGGTTATATAACATTTATACATTGCGACTTTCTCTCTGAATTTTTACAAATATCCTCTCTCGTGGAACATTTTTCGCTGGAGTGTGGGGGTGCTTCTTGCGGCGGAGCGACAGCCTGGGACGCTGTTTAAAATCCCACGCCGGCGCTCCGGCGACCCGAAGTGCTCCGTCACTCTGCACTGGCAATATCCACCACTCTGGAAAGTTTGTTTGAAAATTGGCTTTCCCTTTGACTGATGCGTGTTTTTCTCCGGCGCGTGTTCCAGGCCATGTTGCGGGTCTCCAGGACTTCTACTACATCAGGTCTCGTTTTTGTTTGTTTGCAGAATGCTGAGGCGGGTCTCCACCAGCTTGCTTGGTTCGCCGCAGTGCGCCCTACTCCCGGCTTGCTCTCTCTCGCACCCCCGCCCCCGCGGCCCCCGCGGCCCCCGTGGCCCCTCCGGCCCCCGAACCCCTCTGGGGTTGGCAGCGCGTTGACGGCCACGCGGACCTGGACGGTCCGGCTTGATTTGCAGCACCAAGTTGCTTTTCCTGCCTTGAAGCTTCTCACCGAGGGGGCTCAAGTAAAGCGTCGCGCTTGTCTTAAGTTTTAACTTTTTGGAGCTGCTGCACTCTCCTTCACGGCTGTGCTTGTGGACTGTGGAAGCTTTCCTTTTGGGCTTTGAGCGACGCGGTCTGACTTACGGTGTAGCTGCCTTACTGTTGCTGGCGAGGTGTGATCGCGGAAGGGGTCCCTTGGTCCCTTAGGCCTGTGTGTACCTACACTGTACCACTGGGCTCGGTCGAGAGTAAAAATAATCGCAATCCATTTTAGTTCGGTTGCTTCGTCCCAATCCTGGCTGTGATTGTTTTTACAGTGACCCGAAGGAGCGCGAACCCGGGGTCGGGCGTTGCTCTTCCAGAACGCCCCGTTCAGTTCGTAGGCTAAACAGAGTTGTCTCCATGTTGAGAATGTTCTTTCCAAATTGATGACTCGCGAGTTAAATTGGCTCCACGCGTCGCGCCCCTTCGGTCCCTTGGGTCCCTTGGGCCTTGCCTGGGCTGACCTTTGACCCAGTCTGTTGTTGTCCCCGCAGAGGTCTCGCTCGGTGAGCACACACGCGACGGGGGTGTGGCATTCCACCATCGCTTCCCAGCCAAACTGAAAAGCTGGCGAGCAGCGGCGCGCTGAGCGAGTTTGCGGAGCCCCCGCTGCCCCCGCCCCCGCAGCCCGCCGCGCCCTCTCCAGGACCTCCAGGACCTCCAGGAGGGCCGTCTGCAATCTCGGCGCCGCCCGCGATGGCCATGGTCAACATGAACAGCCTCCTGAACGGCAAGGACTCGCGCTGGCTGCAGCTGGAGGTGTGCCGAGAGTTCCAGCGCAACAAGTGCTCGCGCCCGGACACCGAGTGCAAGTTCGCGCACCCGCCCGCCAACGTGGAGGTGCAGAACGGCCGAGTCACCGCCTGCTACGACAGCATCAAGGTGAGTCTCGGTGCTGATTGGTGATGCGCGGTTGACTTGGTCGCCGCGCGGACCAACTTGTAAATAGGGTATCAAATTGCGAGGGGAGTGGGTGGCCGAGATCAAAGCGACCCTCTTGGCGCTGGCCGGGGCCGAGGCCGAGGCCGCACTGGGGGTTACAGCTTCGCGGGGGAGTCTCTCTTTCTCTCCCCCGCGCCTCGCTGGGGTGCCCCGCGAGTGCGAGAGAGACAGTGTGCCTGCGGGCGGCCACTGGCTCAATGCGCCCTTAATGAGAAGCAGGGCTGGCCGGTGGCCCCACTGCGGTCGCAGCCATTGGCTGTCCTCGCTCGGCCAGCCAACCCCTAAGGGGCCCCCTCTCCCCACCGCGGCCTGACTCGTTTCTTTGGGCCGAAGTGATGCGAGGCGGTCTTCTTGACTGCCGGTGGGATGGCGAATGCAAGGCTGCCGCCGCATTCGGCCCAAATCGGATTACCGGGCCGCTCTGCTCGCGCGGCCGAGGCGCCGCGGCGCCGCCCGACCGGAGCCATTTTATTATTTCATTCAAGATGGCCCGGGAATTTTTAAAGCCCCCCCCCCCCCTCAGTGCCAGGCGAGAGGAGCGCATTAAATGTTAATTTGGGGCAATTCCGTAACAAGTCTGGCCAAGACGCGCCAAATAATTCAACGTTAAACAATTTAAAGGCGCGCGCTGCGCTGGCGGCGGTGCCGTGCGGGCTGATCCCTAGCAGGGCCTCGGTCGGCCTGTCTCTCTCGCACTCGCGGGGGCTGGGGCCGGCCCGGGCCTCCGGTAGGGGCGTGAGAGAGACGGAGCGCCCGGTGAGGGTTGCCCCGGCCAGGCCTTGATTTATCGCGCTCATTCCACTGTGCCGGCCGCATAATTACTCGGCCCGTCTCTGTCGCTCCGCCGCGGCCCCGCGGCCCGCGCCGCGAGTGCGAGCGAGACGGGGCGACCGCGTCCGGAAGCAGCCCGCGGCCCACGGCAGGCAGTGGCACTAACTTTGAGTGTGGTGCGCCGTGGCTCTCGAATGGTGTGCGCGCGGAGCGCCGGTGCGGTCGGCAAGGGTTGGGGCCGCGCCGCTACGCGCCCCGTCGGCATGGAGCCGCCACCCACGCCCCGCCCTTTTCGGAGCGGCCGCCGCGGCCGGGAGTCGAACCCGGGGCCGGCACGCTCGGCTGGGTTTGAGCCACCATACGGAAGGGAGGCCAGCAACGGCGAGTTTGCTAGCAATTAGGGCTGGGAAAGGTAGTGTATGACGACGATGACGACCTCATGCAAGATTCAGGGCGGGTCGAAAGGAAGTTGGCGGGGCGGGGGTGCCTGCCTGGCTGCCTGGCTGCCCGCCTGGCTGCTGTGATGCAATAATGAGCGGGACTCGTCTGCCGCACGGCCTGCATGGCGTGCACCGGGGCGGGGCCGCCAGGGCCGCGGGCGTGGCGGCGGCCACCCTCTCCTTGTCAACACTTGGCCCACTTCATTACTATAAGCTCGCCTGGCGTCGCTTGGCCTGCCTGTCTGCCCGGGGTGGCGCGGCGAGCACCACACGAGCACCGCCATGCAACACCCGCGGACCCCTCCTGCACGCCACCAAGCCCCCCGACGCCGTGGTCAACGCAAAACGAACGTCGATGTCGCAGCGCGATTTTCGCAAATTGGTCATTTTGGGCGGTTTTGAGCACGCGGTGTGCACGCGTAGTGCGCATCGCTCCGGGCCGCACCCACCTCCCCCTCCTCCTTTCCATCCTCCTCGGCGCGGCGGGTCGTTTCCGAACCGCTGTCTGTCTCCCTCGCGCCGCTGCGGGGCGCACCGCGAGTGCGAGAGAGACGGAGCGACTGACGCTGCGTTCGGGGACAGCCTGGCTAGCCCGGCGGCAGGACAAATAAAGCCGTCGTGTTTGCCCAACGTGACGCGTCTCGCAATAGCTGCGAAGGGGTCCCGGTCCTGGCGAACGCGCGCGCGTGTGTGTGAGTGCGTGTGTGTGTGTTTGTGGTGCGCGTCTTGCCGGAACCGAGAGCCCTGCTCCACCGCGCCAGAGCCAGACTAGACCGGCGGGTTAGCCGTGCGGTCTGCGTGGCGCACTGCGGACCGAAAGGTCGCGGGTTCGAGTCCCCCCCTCGCGTGTCCCTCGCGTGCAGGTGTGTGTGTGTGTGTTGCATAATGCGCCCAGGCCCATATGTTAACTGGCCAGGTGTTGCCCCTTCCCCGGCGATAAGCGCCAGACTGCCTGTCTGTCTGTCCGTCTGCCCGACCGCGGTGCACCGCGAACAGGCGTACTGCGTACTGCGTCCACCGCAGGGGCAGGGACCTTCGGGGACCTCGGCCAGTGCGTCGCGTGTTGCAGTGGCGTGTCCACAGTCCCCCCCCCCCCCCCACTCGATACTCGACGTGAGGTGCCTTTTCCTTTCGGCTTCCGCGAATTCGCGGCGAGGTTGTCTTATCACGGACCCGGCCGAGCGCACAGTGTAGGCGACCCGCTCTGTCTTTGTCGCACTCATGGCGCGTCCCGTGTGAGTGCGAGAGAGACGGAAATCGGAATCGGGCGGCCGTTAAGGTGGACATGACCGGCCGTGGCCGCGTTGCCAGATGTACTGTCTACGGATTGAATATTCTATGACACTGGTTTGTGTTTTGGTTCGAGTCGAGTGACTTCTGGCCCGCTTTGCGCCGCGGACACGGGAGCGAAGACGGAGACCAGGACCGGGACGTGCATCTTGTTGGTCAAGTTGCGCCTCGAGTGGAGGGAGGGTGGGGGGTGTCTGGCTGCTGGGTGGTCTGCCGGTGCCTTGGCCGCCGTGCTGGACGGCGCGCTCCGACGGCCGGCGGAACGCTTCACCCCCTTCCCCTCCCCGCTGGTCCCGGCCGTTGTAATTAGGTCCTGGCCGAGGACAGTGTCCACCGCGGGGGCCTGGTGTGGGTGCCCCACTGTGGGTGCCCCACTGGGCGGACGGACCCTGGCCGTCGTTGTCCGACGGGGAAGTCCATCCGGCCGAACGACCGACCGACCGATTCCGAACTGTCTGTCTCTCTCGCACCCAGCCCGCGAGTGCGACAGAGACGGAGCATTGAAACCTGCCGGCAGAGGGTAGACGTTTGACTTGCAGTCAGGTCGAAGTGACGGACTGCGGGAACGTGCGGCGCGCGCCGCGTGAGTTTGCTTCCGATGCGCGGCGGCGGGCCCGCGGCTCGCCTGCAGTCCGTCTAGTGGGCTGTCTTGGCTGTAAAGATAAATGCCGGCCAGGGAGGCTTGTTGTCTGGCCGACGTGGGCGGCGGCCAAGCAGGCATCCAGGCGGGCCGGCAGGCTGAGGGACGGGCCAGTGTGTGCGCGAGCAATTTTTGCCCCGGCCGCCTCGCCTGCACGCCTCGCCACGCCTCGCTCGCAAATAAACGTGAACGGCGTGCTCTAAACGAGCGCTTACTCACTCGCGCGCTCGTCCGCTCCGCCGGCCTGGCTCGGACGGCGGCGCTGCAGACGCCGGGCAACAGCCACTTGCAACCACTGTTTTCCGTGCGCCGCTCTTCCGATCGCGCCTCTCTTTCTCTCTCTCTTCTCCAACCGCCCACGTCGCCACCCCCTCACTTCTCCAACTGCCCCCGCAGCCACTCTCTCACTCCTCAGTCTTCCAACTACCCCCGCCGCCAGCACCCTCTCTCTTTCTTCCAACCTCCCCGCCTGCCCCTCTCACTCTTCCAACCGCCCCCGTCGCTCCACCATCTCACTCTTCCCACCGCCCGCGCCGCCCCGCCCCACTTTGCAGAGCTTAAGCTTTACGATATTGTTAGCTCGTGGCCGCCCTGCATGCAAATGTGGCAAAAAGGGTAGCGCACGAAACGTTTGGGTCGCTGGCAGTTGCTTGGCATGCCCAGTGGCGAGGGGTGCCGGCAACGCCGTGGCTCGCCCGGCGGGGGACGCCGAAAAAAACAGGCCGAGATGATGGCCTAGAGACCGGTCCCAAGGCGCGTGTGCCGAGATGGCGCAGGTGAAGCGTCGCTCCAAGTAGGCCCATTCGGGCTGGGCCTGCGTGTGTGTGTGTGTGTGTGTGCCACCCTCCGCTGGCGAGTGCCTCGCAGCTGGACACCGTGCGTGTGAATACACGACACGGCCGTGTGTGCGTGTCGGGGCGCATTCCGCGTGCGCGGTGCGCGTTGCGCGCGGCCAGAGGGCGCTTGCTCGGTCCGAATTATATTTAGCTTGCGCGTGGGCCAGTGGAACGCGGGGTGGAACGCAGTGGAAGCACATGCTTGTGCTGATTCCCCCCTTGAGGGCGTGCTGCCGCTGCCTCGCCTTGTTTCCGGGCAGTCTCTCTCGCACTCGCGGGGGGCGCCGTGAGGGTGCGAGAGAGAGAGGGAGCGCTGTTCGGCGTGAATGGGGGTTCTGTTTGGCGGCCTTGCGAATCCTCCTCCTGGCCGGCCGCTCGCACCCCACCCACCCTGGGCGGCGACCCTCTCTCCCTCTCTCTCTCGCTCTCGCGAGCGAGGCCCGGCAGCTCAGTCGATGGCATAATTTTTAAATGCCGCCCGCGGCGGTGGGTGCGTGGCCGGCGTGGCCGCGGAGTCGGGCCTGCCGCCGCCGCGCCGGAAGACCGGAAGTCCGCGGCCAGCCGAGCGGATCGGCCGAGGAGCCGCGGTGCGCTATGGCCAGGCCATGGCGGCCTAGCCCTGCGTCTGTCTCTCTCGCACCAGTCCGCGACGCCCACTGAGAGAGAGACAGAGCGATGGACGTCGCCGTCATCGTTCGTGATGGCGTTGTGGTGCTCCAGGTTGCTGTCCGGGGCGACGCTACCTCTTCCGCTGCAGGCTCACCGCCGGCTCACGCCGCGCCGCCGTTTAGACTCCGGAAGTACTTCGGCTTCCCCTCCCCCCCCCCGCGGGCCGCTGTCAGCTGCCGCGCGCGGATTTTTGTAGGGCTTTCTGCGGCGGTCGGCCTGGCCGAGGCCTGGCCTGTTCGTGTCTCCCTGGCCGATAACGTCGTGCGCAGCGCGGCCCGGCCTGGCCGAGGCCTG